GAAAAGAAAATAAACAGACATACATATGCCAAACCAAAATAAGGAATAGCCTCAATGGTTCTATTTTGGCTCCTTAAGAAAATTGTTTCATTACATTAGTAAAAAGTATTTTTATTTTGTGATTTTCCTCAGAAAAGACGACATGCCTAAAGAAAATAGCAAAGCTATCGACAGAGCTTTCCAGTTTACGCGATGTTGTTAAAAATCATGATAATGCATGGGACAGCCACACCAATAAGGTGCCTGTGGTAAGCTGGCTCCTCTATACTCACTCAAGGTTCAACAAGGTAATTACACCTCCAGAAGGTACACTGTGAATACCTCAGGGTGGTGTGTGTGTGTGTGTGTGTGTGTGTGTGTGTGTGTGTGTGTGTGTGTGTGTGTGTGTGTGTGTGTGTGTGTGTCACAGAATTTTTAATCAAGCAGTCTTTAGAAATGGTGAGTCTCAGACTCACAACCCAACCAACTAACCAACCAACAACCAACCAATCCTTGGTTATAAATTTAGAGTTAAGTAATACCAGATCTGTATAGAACTAAAGAAGAAGGTACTCTAGGGAGATTTTTGCCTACAGCTCTGCTGTGGTCACTGGTTACCCAAAATGCATCGCCATGGTGACATTGATTTCTCACCCGACCAGGCTCACATATTTCCTCTCTGTGGGATGTAGGGAGGTTTCCCGCTCAGGTTAGATAAGAGGCCGTAGCACATTCTCAAGCCACTGAAACCAAGGCGGTATACACGGAATGTGCTGACTCCTTCAGCTCCGATGTCACCTTTGAAGTCAGATTATAAACCAAGCACCTCAAAGAAAATGTCACATGCCAGAGGCCAGAGAGCCTCACAGGAGAAGCAGTGTCCCAACACTAACGGGAAGAGTTACTGTGTCTAACACGCCGCTCCTTTCAAACACATGACATCAAAGCATAGGGCTGTTCTATAAACAGTTAAATAATTTTAAAGACATTAGATAAAAATAACGGCAGGTTAGATGAAATAAAGAGCAATTAAGGCTGTACATGTAATGAAGATCAGACCAAACAGTCATAACCTTCCCATCTTTGGATCATTTAATGATTAGGAGATTTTATTATGCAAATTAAGCCCAAGGCTAATTACTGAAATAGGTCACTGGAAAAAGTCAATTCCAAACACGAAGAAACCCCATATATATCATTGTGCCACATGTCACAGCAAATCATCATCCATGAGGAGAATTAATGAGGGTGTATATCATTTTGTCACGTCATTTCTTAAGGGGATTCACTAGGTGTGCAGTCGGTTTAAGAAATACAGCTCCAATCAAATATTAATGTTAATATTAAGCCCCAAACTGTGATGCGTATATTTGAAAGGGGGCAACTACAAGTAAGGCAGAAGTCAGCACAGAATGCAGAGCAGATCTTGTCTGCACTAAGAAGCAGCACACCGGCAAGAGAGCCAAGCAGAAAATGGCTAGGACCCAGAGGAGAGCTCCATCATTAGTCTGAATAACATCAACGATGAAAAGTATTTTCTAGAGAAGGAAATTAAAGTGACTTTCTCATTAAGTTCAGGCAGCAGCCACAGAATTGAGACAGAACACTCTGGGCTCCTGGCCTATTTCTCCACCACACTGATCATCTGGGGTACTGCCCAGCACCAGAGCCATGCACAAGGACCCTCCACAAGGTGGGAGGAAGCGGGGGATAAGGGCCCCCTACGGAAACTGTCCCCCTGCAGGTGGGAATCAAGCAATGCTCTAAACAACACTGCTTTGCCTTCCTATAGAATGCAACCACCGGCACACAGGAAGAACCACATGTCTAACGCTGTCTGTGGTAAAAGCGTCAGTAAGCAGGCATGAAGACTTAAAAGGCTAAGCTAGATGCTGGTGGCTCACACCTGTAATCCTGGCTACTCAGAAGGCTGAGATCTGAAGATCACGGTTCAAGGCCAGCCAGGGAAGACAAAGTCTACAGACTCTTAACTCCAGTTAACCAAAAGCTGGAATTGGAGGTGTAGCTTGAGTGGAAGAGCACTAGCCTTAAAGTAGAAAAAGCCAAGTGAGAGTAGGAGTCCTGAGTTCAAACCCCAGCCCTGGAGAAAAAACAAAAACAAAAACAAAACCCCAAACAACACATGGCGGATACTTCCTGGAAACTCAGAAACCAGTGTTACTTACTGCCTCAACAAGCAATGCTTTGAACTGTTTAAACTTGTTGATCTGAGTACTTCCCATCATGCCACTTAACACTGTTACAAATGTTCTGATACAAACATTACTGCCTTCAAATACTTGTCTCTCTTTCTGAAATACCCAGAACAGAGTGTGACTCTGTGTGTGTGTGTGTGTGTGTGTGTGTGTGTGTGTCTGCACATTTGTTTAACAGGGAAGGAAATCCCTTGTAGCTGGGCACCACTGGTTCATACCTGTAATCCTAGCTAGTCAGGAGGCTGAGACCTGAGGATCATGGTTTGAAGGCAGTCCAGCCAGAAAAAAAAATCCCTGTGCAACTCTTACCTTCAATTAACCACTCAAAAGCCAGAGGGGCACTGTGGCTCAAGTGGTAGAGCACTAGCCTTGAGCACAAAGAGGCTCAGGGACAGCACCCAGGCCCTGAGTTCAAGCCCCACAACTGACAAAATAAATAAATAAAATAAAATAAAAAATCCCTTGTTCAGGTCTTTTGGGATTCTTGGAGAAGCAATGCAAAGTCAACATTAATTTTTAAATGTCCTTTCCACTTCCCATTTCCTTTCAAGGGAATGGTATATCTCGGTGAGCTTTGTTGTGGGGCAGGTAAGAAACTGGCTTCTACCTTTTTCCACGTTTCTTTAGTGTCCTCCTCTGTCCTAGCCTAGGGAAGCCTTTCAACTCCATTCAGTGGTCACTGGAAGTCAATAAAAATCCTAGGTCCTGGGCGATGATTAGCCCTGGGTAGACAGATGTTCAACAGGTACTACTGGAGCAGTGTCTCACTGTTTCAAATCAGAAACCCTAAAGTCTGTATTTTAAGTCAATATACTATTGTGTTGAGACAGGATCTTACTATGTAGTCCAAGCTAGTCCAGAATTTGTCATCCTCCTGCCCCTCCTCTCAAGTGTGGGCATGTGTCAGCACACTCCGCTCTAATATTCTTTTCTCCCAGGTCACTAACACTTGTGCACTGTAAATCTGAACTCTAAGGAGAGTCGGGGAGGCCAGGGTAGCTTAACCAACAATAATGAACCTGATAATGCAGCATACTGTTTCCACAGGCGATACAGAATGTCATTCTTCTGCAGATTAGTATTAGAATTTTAAATCAAACTATGCTTGCAAGTACGGTTCTCTCATGAGTGATGGAAAGTAGTGGTTAAATGCTCACTGCATTCAGCAAAGCATTGTCAGTAAATCGCTGATGTATTTATTTGCTTTTCCTGCATTTTATTTCAGACTAAAGATCTGATTTTCGGTGTTTACTGAAATACACTTAATGCTTAGTGGAGTTTTGGAAATTGCAGTTTTTCTTTCAGAATTTACGAAGCCATCTTTATGAAGTCAGCAACTAGAATAAAAAGAAGACTGGTTGGGTGTGTTGGTTTTGTGGGCATCCCAATGAGATAGACCGGTTTGCAGACATGGGTTCAGGGACAGGTGTGTGACTCTATGCAGGGGCAGTAGCCTTCTTAAAAATCTGTCGTAAATGTGCTGGACTAGATATGAGCACCCACTGAAAAAGTCTTTAAGGAACAGTTAGGCTATCACAAGGTTAAAGTTTCCACTTATTTTACCTTGTTACTTCCTCAGAGTTTTGGAGCTTTCTGTATTGCTTTGTATGCTTTACCATACCATCTGCTTTGTTTCATCTCAGGATGCTTGTTTCCATTTTATGATAATTATTCCATTAAATACATAATTTACCACTTTTTCCTTTTCTTTGTTGTTCTTGGAAAGCTATGTTCTGTGTATCAAGTTAGCTTTAAAAATATGTTCTCCATCTCTGTGGCATTTCACAGTCTCAGACAAGATAATTACATGTCTACGACCTTTGTTTTAATTACTAACGTGGTAGAAATACGTATTATGGAGCACAAGGTAAGTATTCACTGAGTTACTGGTTCTGTAGACTAAAGAGAAGCAGTTTAGTGGCAGAGACGCCCAGCCAGGGGGAGGGATGGTCCCTCAGGAGATAAATAAAATCTTATTTGGGAAGAAGTGGAGAATTCAACCCTAGGAAAGAGTACATCTGTAAAACAAACAAAAAAAAAATGAACATAAAAGAGCTTATTACTTGAATCATGCCAACAGCTATCTGGGTTTCCAAGAATTTGTGGTAACAAAACCCAGTTGAGAACAGTTCTGGCTTGGTAATAACATGCGATGTGCACCCAGTAGGTATGGTTAGGACATATACACAGCTGGACCTCCTCACATCATGGCTGCACTTCGGGTAAGACCCAAAGGACATATTCTGAAGCAGAGCATCTATCTATCTATCTATCTATCTATCTATCTATCTATCTATCTATCTGGTGTAATTTTCCTATTCTAAATCTGGATTGAACACGACCATAGATAAGGTGTTGTCTATAGCCCTTATCCTTCCAATGATTAGCTCCCTCCCTTGGGATGCATAGCTTTACAAGGAAAGTATACTCTTGTGCCCTGTGGCTCACTACTCAATTCCTAGCACTGATGCTCAATCCCTGGAAACAGAAAAAACTCTAAAATGATGGAGTGAATGGATGGACAGATGAAGAGAAATGGCATTGCACAGATTTACCTGTCAATGGTTTTGTTTGCAGAGCTGCTAAGCATAGGCACATAACCATTTATTTCAATACTGTAAGAATCCTAGGAGTTTTCCTCCTTTGTTTATATTCAATTAATTCCCAAATTCAATTAAGTTTCTTTGAAAAACAAAGATTCTCACCAAATAATTTATCATGATAATTTTAAGGAGACAAAAATTGATACAAACCTATTTAGCTTATTCTAATGACTACAAAACAAAGGACTAGAATGATACTTACATATAATGTAGTAATCTCTGTTCTTCTGAAATTCTAAACCCCAGAGATTTGGGCTGAATTCTTGAAACTTGATGGTAAATTTCACGTCCTGGTCTGGTCTGGCACAGTTGAGCAGAGGGGTGTTTTCCTTCTTAATAGTGCATCTGTCTGCTTGGTCTTTATCAACCATATAAACTTTATAATATTCATACTGGCCAACAGTTTTAGAGTCCACTTTGGGGCAAATAATATCCAATTTGTCTCCTATCTGTGGGTATAGTACCAGTCCTTGTCCAGGTAGAAATCTAGAAGCATAAAAGAAAATCCAGTGAGTTGATAAAACTTAATATCCTTAATGAGTTATCAAAAAGCCAATAATCTCAAACCACAACTTCTTTTTGATCTGCACTTTTTTTTTTTTTTTTTTTACCAAAACCTCTTTGCGGAGATGATCATGGGACAAATGAATTTAGGAGTTAGACTTAACAAGCAACAAAAACCAAACCAGCCCAAGCAGTAGTCTCCTTCCTCCAGACAGCCTCCTGACACAGCTCTCCTCTCTTTCCGGGTAAGATCCCAGCACTCTTTGTATAACTTTACAATCCACTCTCCTCCACCTTGACAGGTGAGTCAGACCTTCCCACCTGTTTACTTCTCAACCATTGGCAGGCCTATTTTATGGAGCCAGCCATAAAGAGGATTTCATCAATTCCAGGGAACATTACAGGCACTAAGACTATTGCTCTGTTACTTTCCTTTTGCTGTTGATGTTAATTAACAGACAAGTTTCATCAGGACTGTTTCAAATTACTTATCATAATTAGCCAGTCACTGATCAAACAATGGGTTTTTTTATTACACTGAACAAAAGAAATGTCTTACAAACCCATAAAAGATAACTAGAAATAATTAGTCCACAGTATTGATTCAGCTGCAGACCAAAGAGTCCTTCTTTGCAAGGACAACAGCTTCCATCTCTGCTCTACAAATCTCATCACCACGACCACCCCCCCCACCCCCGCCCTGCAAACCCTTGAGATGTATTTGCTCCAATTAATTTGTAGCAGCAAGTCTTCAGAACTAAGACGGCTGATACAATATCCCCTGAATGCTTATAGCTCAAAGCTTCCCTCCTTCCTTTTCTTTCTTGCTAGCCATGCTTGCCGAAAGATTTTTTTCCCTAATGGGGAGTTTCTCTCTGAAACTGAAAACAAGAGCTTCCTAATGAACATCCTTCTCCCAGCGCAAATGCTAACAACACACTCTTAAACCCCAGGTCTAGAAAGCAGCCAAGTCTGTGGGCTCATTAAAATATTAAAGCCCAAGAAGGGACAAAGCCTTGTCTCTGAATCCTTCCAATCCAAGCTATCGTTAGCCATGGAAGCCACCAGCCAGGAGGATCAGTGGCCAGAGTGCAGTTATAGAGTTCAAGCAAGCATGCAGGAGGGCACCTCACGTTTCAAATCTGCATGGAGATAACATAATAAATGCTAATCAAAGGCATTTAATTTACAAAAATTTCCTGAAAGATGGTTACCCAGATGAAGATGTACAAAACCTAATTTAGTTGTAGATTTGTCATTAAAAAAAAAAAACACCCATACATTCTATGGCCGGAAAAAAAGGAGTGTTGTAAATGTTTGTTTTCATCAAGTCAGGTTCTTCTGAATGTGTTACTAGACAACTCCAAAGACAGGCCTGGTCTCCATCCCTTAAAAAAAAAAAGGCTACTATAGTAGGATGATAAGGCATTTATTCCACAAAAAAATGGTAAACAGGAGTCACCTAAAAATCTTACTAGAAATCAGAACTCAAAATGAGTTATTTTTCTAACAATACCAAATTTCAAACATCTATGTGTGTACTGAAGAATTCTCTAGCACATCTGACAAAAAGAGATCAGGAGTGAGGGAGCGCCTCTCTGTGATCTTCCTGGCCATTTCCATAGATCTGTGAAAAGCTTCTAAAATCCAACCCCAGGGCCAAAAGACTCTCTCGGGGTGGTCCTGGGACCCCTGAACATGAATGGCATCTCTCTAGGTTTCTCCTCTTGGTGGATAAAACTCTACAGTTTCTCCTGAACGACTGAACAAGATCAATTGTGGATAAGGCGTTTCAATGTTAGCCCCTACCCCTTCCCAGGATTCGGATGTGTTCCGTGGATTAAAAACCAGAGGTAACCTGGCTGGGAGTGGCTACAAATGAAATTCCATGAGCACTTAAAATGTCACCTTCTTGCCACTTTGTGTTTCCCGTGACCATCTTTGACCTTCTTCCGAAATGTCCGAATGCTCACAAAATCCAGGGCCATTTTCCTATCTAGGATGTCCCACTCTGCTCCAAACACTTTCTATCAAAGTCACCCATTTTCATAACTAGCACAAAGGGCCACCACAAAAGAGAAAACAAGTGTTGCTATAAGTTTTCCTGAATCATGACTCCAGTGTCAGGTCAATCAACTTCCTTTGCCAGCCTCCCTGAGGAGTGTGTAGGCCTCGAAGATAAGGATCTTTCTAAAGCCAGATGCAACATCCATCTTCTTGTCCATCCATCCAGGGGACCATATCCTGCCCACACTGGAGCACCTGCACAGGTTTCGGGACTCCTCCAGTCTGACTCCCTAAGCTCTTTCTTCATTCCAAATGTTCCCAGGATCTGTGTCCTACCCCACTCAGAACTCTCTGCAGGTCACTTTCAACCCAGGCAAGTCATTCTACAGGACTCTGCTCACTCACCAAGGTATGCACAATGTCACGGCACCTGCTGGTGCTGAGCAAGTGAGGTCAAGAATTCATGGCACCTGGGCCCCTCTGGCTTCCAGGATCTTGCCTTTTAGACTCATGGAAGGATAAATCACACAGTAATGAGCCTCTGCAAATGTTTTGCAAATGAACTATCCTTCCTTGAAGTCAGGGTGCATAGTCCAGTTTGGCTAAGACTTGTCAGGACCAGTAATGGGAAACATGAGGCCCCTAGGGATGGCTCATCAGAAAGAGCAGGCAGGGACGGAATCTCAAATTTTAACATACATACTACTGCCAAAGCCTCAAGAAACCCCAATTCATCTTTTAGAATACAGTGTGGCAAAAATGGGAGGAAAAAAAATGTGATCTTTGGCCCGCGATTTAAAAAAAAAAAATCAAAAAACAACCCTCATTATTTCAAGAGGTCCTTTGGGGGGAAAAATCACATCTTCCTTGAAATCCACACAAAGAACTCATTGTAGGAGAAGTGGAGTCCCTGCTTGATGTCTGTTTGGGAAGGACAGGCACACCAGTCATTTCAGTGGCTGAGATGATGGTTTCTGAACAGACACAGAGTCCGCTGAGCCGAGAACCACCCCAGGTATCGGAATTGCTCCATGTTCCAGCATCTGCTGAGAACAGACACCTCCTGGGAGCAACTCTCCCACTTGGCAAGGCTGCAGGGCAGAAAAAAGAGTATGGTGGCCTGGGTGACCCACTTGGGACCAGGTGTTCGGAGTGACAGAAAGGATGATGGCCCAGGTCACCAGAAATTTCCAGTCTAGCTCCCTCAAAGAAGGGACGGCCCAAAGGCATGTTGGAGTCAATACAGAGAACCCAAGGGCTGCCATGTGGTAGAGGCTCAAGAGATAAGAGATAATGTATTTGTTTTTTTTAATCTTTAAAAAAAAACAAACTTGAATAAAGTGGAAACTAACATTCACACACTCAAGTCAAGTTAAGAGTTGTCAGCAATAGGCCGTCAGAGGTGGGATCGACAAATCTCCAGACAAATCACTTCAGGGGAAAGAAGCACACTAGAAAGTGGGGTCAGCTTTGCTTACAACCTGGTTAGGCACAGGTTTTGATCCTTTTAACTCAGAAAGCATCTGGAAGTTTCAGCAGCCATCCACACTCTCTCCCTAGTTAAAAAAAAAATGAAGGAGAAAATTGACATTTTCAGAGTTACTAATGACAAAAGCGTTATGGATTCTGATCTCTTGTTGGTAGTTTATGCACTGGTCCATGCACCTCACAATCCAGGGTCCATCTACATTTGAGCACTGTTCATACCCAGCATTCAGGCCAGGAGAGGAAGTGGAGGCCTCGGGAGCATAACAGGAAAGTCCCTTTCCCAGAACACTTCAGTTCTCATCCCGTGCTTTACAGGGTAAAGCCAGCTTTGTGGATCAGTTGGATCAACCCTCCCTCTCTTCTTCCTTCTTTACCAAGGGGCAGCCATCTGGTATCTGTGCCTTGTACCAGGAGGCCAAGAACTAAAAGGTGACCGAGGAACAAGCTAACCACTGGAATTTGTGTTTCATGTGTACTGTGACAGATTAACTTTAGACAATAGATACACATAGCAGAATATACATAAACAGCACCTTTTTAAAGGGCGCATAATGAATCCTATAGATTATAGTTGAGTCCGTTCTATATTTGAAGAGGGGGGCTATATTTGAATTTCATTATCTGGAGATTGTTGTTTAGAAACCTAATAACCAAGGCCGAGATATATGTGTGGTAATATCCAAGGCAGAGACATGTGTGTAGTAATCAGTCTAGACGCATGTCTCTGCCCTGGATACTTTATGATAGTCAATAATACACTCATCATAAATTGACTCTTAAAATGTGATAGAAATATGGTGATGATAACTGGCTAATTTTAAATCATTATCTGATTACTTATGGTAGATGTCCAATGCAGATTTATTTTGTTATGTTAAGATTTATCTTTTAGCCAAAAACAGCACAGTGGAAAAGCTCCATAGTTACAGCCCAGCTACACAGAGAAGGGAGTTCGTGTTAACCCTGCAAAAAAAGGGGTGCTGTTTCACAGATTGCTTATTTTCAAGCTCACACAAAAGACAATGACCCAGATAAGTGAGAGAGTGGGAATGGGGCTAGGCCTTTCACTCTCTGGGTGGGGCTTTTCCTGTCAACCCTCTGCCCTGTATCTTCCCATGAGGGGGCAGAGCACTTGGGGTCTTCCAGGGCTTCCCAGGGTTTCCCAGGGACCCTCCTTGGGAGGGACTGAGGAGCACTGAGCAGAAAAAGGCAACTCCTCTGGTTTTCTGCAGTGAACCATTTCCAGGCAAGACAACGGACATCATGATTTTGAATCAGATACATAGACAATAAATAGAACCAGAAAGAAAAATGCAAACCCGGATCCAGAGCTGTCAAGACTTACAGGCAGGACGCAAAATGATTTGATACTAGGATCCTTTTTTTTAGTTTGGGATTACCTGTCCAACTGAATTCAAGTTTCAAAAAGTCTTTCGTCAAGTTAGAGTCTACTATTTCCACAAGCAATACTTTGGAGAGCTCTAATA